TCATATTTGATCAATATACAATAGATTATAACTGAAACTTGGATAGATTTAGTGAAAGTAATGTATTGCTATCTCGGTACAGTGCGCATTTATGGTTTTACAGGAATTCTGCTTAACCTATAGATTTTGTGCAGCTTTTAATATATGCATTTAACATAACTTTTAAAGAGCTTTCGATTGATATATTGCACGACAAGATCGGTTGAATAGTTTCTGAGATACAGAAAGTTCGTAAATTCGAAATTTTCGAAGTCATTTTTCTCATAGAAGGAGACATTTTTCGAAAAAAATTTCCATTGACCTACTCGTCTTGAGCGAAGCTCAAGAGAAGTAGGTGAATTGTTAAGAAAATTTCGAACTTTCGAAAAAGCACCACATGTAATTTTTAACATTGAGTGTATGGGATACGTTTAATCACCGTTGACACGTCTTCTCAAGGTATTAATAAACTCGTAATAGAAATTTTCGAGGGTTGACATTGACTTTGAACCAACAATATTGAATTTTCGAGATGAGAAGAAAATCGCCACTTGTTTACCCACTCGAAACATTATTCCAGGAAAAAGTTCAGGTTCCCATGTGAACTCAGGATATTGAATTATTTTATTGAGATTAATTGGAAAATCTATTGTTCCTGAAGCAACAATATTGACTATTTTTGATTTAACAATTGAGTAATTAGGTAACACATTAATTAATACATTAGTTGCTTCATCTAATGATTTCGCGCCTACGACATTGACTTTATTAGAACGATAGATTAGGACTTTAACTTTTCCACAGTTTAATATATTACCACTAAAATAATAAGGATCATAATTAGGAAAATCGTTTGGTTCCAACCTTGAGTTAACTTCGAAACAAATAGTCATATTAACTATTCGATACATCTTTAATTGATTAATTAATTAATCAATCTTATATAGCAATGCAGATGATTAAGACATTGATGATTATATTCGTCATTGACCAAATTAACAAATTAATTAAGAAATTGTCGAAAAATGGACTTAATAATCAATCATCAATTGACAATTGGTCAGTTGTCAGTTATTCGTATTTAATTAAAGTTAAAAAAGTTTTAATCAACTTTAGAAAGTTTAATTATGCCTAAGTGGTTAAAACGATCTGCTAAAAAACAACGACTATTGAAAAAATCGTATGAAATCACTGCAAAAGAACAACAACTATTTGAAAAATATAAATGTAAAGAGCTTAGTGTTGTTTTAACCCCCTTGGAATATATTCCACCATTAAAACGGATTAATGTGACCGAAGGAGTTGTGAAAAATCCATTTTTCATCGGTGAACAATCATCAAAGGAGATTCAAAAGATCATCGAGGAATTGAATGTGCTTCAATCCGAAGAAATACGTGAATATAATGATGATTTTGTGCGTTTACTTGATGAATGTTCGGTCACCGTTGAGGAAATTTTCCCCATTGATGATGGATTCATTGATTTTGTTTTAAAAAATGATCTAAAACCAGTACATGATTTCAATGAAATCATGACTGATGATTTGTTCAAATTATAAATAAAATATTTGGAAAATTTGATCATTTTAAGATATACATTTTTATTTTCGTTTCGGAAAATCAAGTTGAAAAAGTAAGAGAAAAAGAAAGAGTAAATTTGTGTGCCAGAGGTGGCATAATATCACTACTCAAAGTTTCAATTCTAACACAATTTAAAGTTCTTATTGTACTTTCACTGTTAATATTTCAAGGTCATTAAAGGTAACAACTGATTATCATGATATCGAATAAAATTTTACAGTTCAACTTAAAAGTAATCTACTAATTGTGATCATGTTACATGGAAAGTGTTCAAGGTAATCGGATGAAATTGATAATCATGTCGTTAGAAGATAAAATTGATGAGAACTGGGGATGAGATTATAAACTTAATGAGTTATGGATTAAGTGTGTGTCTTATATGGATAAGATTAAGAGGATTAAACAAGTTACACTTTATAAAGAATGGAAGCAAGAAAAATATATAATTCGATATGAGATTAGGTTACTCATTGAATCATTACTCAGATTGACCAACAGTGGACACAACAACAATAAAACTCAATTCGTTTTGCGAGATATTTTTTCTATTCAACATTTTCCTTGGAAACTGTTGGATGCTACAGAGATTTTTTTTCTCTACTATTACTATTAACTGATAATCGTTATTAGCTTTTATGACCAGTGTCCATTTGGTCATCATTTTTGATAATCATGATGATGATTAAGTCTTTCTCTTAACCTGATAAATAAAAGATATTTACTATTGATTTATCATATAGAACTTTTCGAAAAAAAAATTGATTCTTAATCTCTTCCGGTTTTATCATCTAATGGTCATCGACTTAAACAATGATAAATTTACTCCCGGTAGAGGTCAAATTTGATTCTTTCAATATTTGACCAAAAGACATTAGAAATTCAAATGCTGAATGAGTTCAGAATCTTTGTGAAAAACATGAGGTTAAACATGATGGATAAGAAATTAGATTCTGAAACTATTGATGAGCTGATAATGAATACAATGTAATTATGATGATAATCGTTACGATAAATCATAATGTTCATCATGATGATTATCATGAGTAAATCAAGAAGTCATTGTTATTTTTTGTTCAGATAGATAATCATATGCTTTAAGACTGTTATCTAAATATTAATGGTCATTTATCCGTAGACTTGACATGAGAAAATGAAACTGGACAAAAGGACAATCATCATGATAAACATGATGATCATTTTCAGGATTATTAAAACAGAAGGAAAAAGATAAAGAGAGAGAGAGAGTATTTTGTTTCGATTTGTTCGTATTCGTGAAGTTTTCCTTCATGAGATTGGAATGAGATTTTTGATTCACCAGACTGGAAATAAATTTTATCTATTTCTCCTTCCCTGAGATTAAACTGAAAGATTTGAGATTTCATGGTGGGAATGTTGAACTTTTCATAAGCATTTTCACTGTGATAACATAACTTTCGGCTAACTGGATGATTTAACATTGACATATATTTGTATCAGTTTCATCAGTAGTTTGATAATGATGATAATCAATTTTTACCATGATAGTAACTGCGTCTCAACAAATAAAGGAGCAAAAATAAATTAGCTAAATGGTTCATCAGAACTCATAGAGATCGCCAATGAATCAGTTCAATTCATTTCTAACCTTTCTAAGCAATAAACAATTCGTATAACATTTTAACCCGAAAGGTGATTGACATTTGACTCGATGAAAAGTGAGTGTTACAATTGTGATGGAATCAATTTAATATCAATTGTAAGTTGATTAGATCAGATTGTCACTCAGGTTCAAAGTTATCATTGAATAACATGTATTCAAACTAACGAGGGAAGATGGTCAATGGTCAGATTTTTATCTATCAACTGGAATCAAAGGTAAACTTTCAGAATAAGAATGAAACTTTCTCTGTATTCGTATAAATATTTGATCACATTGTATCTTAACTTATGTCCGGTAATTGATTGACCAGAAAAGTCAATCGAGAGTCAAGTAAAATGAACATGATGATAAATAACAATAAACATCATTGATATTATTGAATATCAAGAAATAAAAGTAGAAATGGAAGAAAAAACCGAAAGGAAAAATGACAAGAATACAATACCTAACGGTCAGTTTCAAGTTATTCTGTTGACCATTTATTGTTGTTTATCTTTATTTTGTATCGTGTGTGAGAGAGAGAGAGAAAAAAAATTCTGACCATAGTCCAGTTTGGTAAAAGAGAATGATAAAAAACAAGATGAAATGTTCGAAGGCAATGTTACACTTTTCTATTAATATTTGCTATCGATTATATAATCGATTCTAAAGGAGACTGAGAAATGACCGGGAAACAGATTTCCCTTGGAACTGATATCAGACCATGTTGACCATTGTCTGATCATCAATATTCATAGTTACCAATTGAGAAATATATTCGTTAAGTTAATGATCAATTTCCTGTAATTATCTGGACATTAAATGATTTCATGTAAAATCATTCAAAAAGACAGATAAGATTTCAGATCGAGTTCATCTCGAATATATTGTTAGAAATTAAATTCTGACTCTAATCTTTTTGCATATTGAAAACAGAATTACTGGTCAGTGGTCAAAGAGTAGTTAATTAAATCAGCTTCAACTATACATGTTATTTAGAAAACGATAGTCACAGGATAGTTCAATATATTATCATGTAGAATTGAACAATAAATTCGTCAAGTTTTAAAGAAAAAAAATTTCAACCTAAATTTTGATCAATTGTAGTCTTCTTATTGTCTCACATTCATCAGCTCAACGAAAAATTGACAGAAATTTGTAAATGACCATTGGTCAACTCACCGATTAGAAGATTTATTGAAGACACTTGTTGATTCACGACTGATGAACTAATCTGATGCTCGGAGTTCCAGTCAAATTCACAGTAACACAACACAGTTGATGGATAATAACAAATTTCAAAGAGCTGAAACTAACTCAGAGTTTGAATTTTAAGATTTTTAATAAACAGATCACATGAACTTCACAACATTTACACCAATTTGAATACGTAACTAATCAAAACTCAAAAGTAAATTGAATCACAAGCACAACGTTATGAGAAGTGAAATAACTTTAATTGTTTGGGTTGTAATTAGAATCATGAGAAAACGGAACAGGAAACAAATTTATTATCATTATAAGATGAAGGGGAAACTAAAGTGACATCATAAGATATCAAGAGCAAAGTTGTTACTCTTCGGACATCATTCAATATCTTATCTTTTAGTCTTAATGTAGATTAAGTGAGATATTTGTATGATTATCATTAAAGAGATAAGATTGAGAGATCAGCAAAAACGCCCAAAAGGTCATCATGCTGCTTCTAGAGGTTATTTGTTCTCTGAGTTTCTCGAAGATACCTAATTTTAGTGTTTCGATTTTCAGCCTTACAGTTTTCAATTCATTGATGAATTAGTGACGAAAAGATATTACAACTTACAGTTTAGTTTGAGATATGATTTTTCACTGTATCCGGTTCCTTGACTGTTCCTTGCTGAACATTGGTAATGTCCACGTTGACTTCGTTTAACTTGTTGAAGGACAAGTGATTGATTGGAGACAATTATTCCAGCCGAGGGATTGGTGTAAAGAGGAACATCTTCAAAAAGCCAAGTGACCTCAGTGACCCAAGGATTGGCGCGAACATTACATTCAAAATAGACATCGGTGTTTTCACGAATTGTGTCCAATTGAAGGCTAGTACCTAAGACGATTGATACTTGAGGTGTATCTTGAAAAGGGTAAGTGAGATAATTTTTGTTGTTATTTTTAAATTGTAGCAAAACTCAAAAGATGAACCTTAAAATTGTTGATCTATTATATGAAACTTACAGTGAATATTGAGAATTGTTTCATCTTTTAATGGTGAGATTGATAATTTTGTGTTGACCACTGAACAAGAAATGACCTTTCCATTGTCTTCTATGGTCGGTTTATATTGAAACTTTGAGGTTGTTGAGTTACCGTCATTGGAGAGGATTAAACTTGTAGTTACATTCAAAGGCTCATCATCTTTGAACCATTTCACTTGAACGGGTGGACGAGAACCATAGGATAAGCAGATGAGGTCACTTACATTGTTTGCAGGTAGAAAAGTATTTTGTAGCAAAAGTTCAACACCAAGAGGTTCAACTGGAAGAGAGAGAGAGAGAGAGAGAGAGATTTAACATGAAACTTTCATGAGAGATTCAGAATTAACTCACGAATCATATCAATTGAAACTGAAACTTCTTTGGGCGGTATAAGGTCAGTATTAGAAACTAGGCACGTTAATACGGTTAATAAGTTATCACGATCGATATTTTCCACGATAAATTCATTAGAAACTGTTCGATTCTGTGAAATCTGATAGGAATCATCAACCATGTTCCCACCCTTCCACCAGCGTATACTAGGCGAGGGATCACCTTAATTAAATTAAAACAAAAAAAAACACTCAGTTAAAAATTCATAAGAAAATCATTAGATGTTGAATGAAAAATAAAATATCACAATTATGATTATCATGGTGATATTATTATAAGGAGAAAAAGAAAAGTTCATTCATCATTTTTAATCTTTTCCTCTGTTCCAGATCACAAATTTTCTGTACCTGAATCATGTAAGTGTTACCATGTAATACTATTGAGTTGTTTGAATGTTTTCACCATTGATAGGATAGTTGAAGCATCTATTCATACAATGTTTTTCAATTCTCATGCAAGGATGATGGTGATTCTCAAAAAAAACTGATTGCCTTATTATGCCTCATGATAAGTTTCAATAAGTTTCAGTAACTATCTATTATTATCGTGATTACTATTATGATAACCATGGGAGAGTATGGGAGAGAGAGAGAGAGAGAGTGAGAGATGAAAATATTTTGCATAAAAACACATTACTAAGGATGCATAGAAAGTGACTATGATTAAAGGATCTTTGGTAGGAAGATGATGATGATGATGAAGTAGAAAAGAGAAAAGATCAAGAATAAGTAGATGGAGTAAGAATATTTAATGATCCCTGAGATGTTTAATGAGCCATAGAATTTGAGGAGAAAAAAGGAAGAAAACAATTTCATGCAGAATTTTGTTCGAAACTTTTTTTTTCACCAATCTCCCGCTACCACCATTCTCATGTAGATTAGAATAGATTATCTGAATTTCAATTGTAAAAAATAGTTGGATTTCAATCTGATTACAATGAATTAACATTTTCCCTGATCGACTTTCTTTATCAACCAAAACATCAGCTTTTTCCATAACTTTCCAAATCTTGATAATATGGTCAACAAATTTACCTTGACCACTTGGAGCTTTACAAATTTCAATGCTAATACTATTATGTATTAACACTTGAAACTTTCTATTATGTAGCCAGTTTTTTTTAGTATTGTTGGTCAACTAGTTCAGTGAATTGACGAGAATCAGCAAGTTGATCAATCGATGATTAACTTTTGATGATTGAAAGCTAAATGCATTTGACAAGATCAATTTGCAAGCTATGGTTACCATTATTCAATATAATGGTCGCTCATGTGGTCAGTCAGATAACTTACCCCCAATAGCTTTACATGTAAGTCTCAGGGTGGTTCCTCTTAGGAATGGGCCAATTACACCTTCCATTCGGGTTCCATTGGAATCAACAATAATCACTGATTTAGGTGGAACTATGAAACAATTATAAGAGTTAAAAGATTAGTTAACTTGCTTATTACTCTCATTTCTCAAAATTGGGCCAACAATCAAATTTAATAACTTTTTTTGCATCATCAACGATTAGTATTTAGGTTGAACTTTTTTTTCGCCTTCTTTTTAATAATAATCAACTATTAACACTTTTAGAAGTTTAATTTTCTCTGTCACATGAAATTATCATTATCATCTTGAGTTGCATCATTCTAATGACAACAGAATAGTTTATTAGAACAGAATTATCTCTTTCCACTTTTACTTTCGATTAAGAAAAAAGAGAAGAGAAAAAAAAATATATTATTTTCTCTTTCGAATTCATAATTTTCTTCATTTCATTTACTCTCTTCTTCTAATATATTGAATATATAATATTTAATAATCACTTTAGGTTCAGAATTATGATGATAATGTTGAGATCTTATTATCGTTCCATAAATATCCCCTGTTAATAATGTGTTACCCTAATGAACATGAGGATCTTTCCTTTTACTAACTATGATATTGAATTGAATTCACTGGGAGTGAGCATGGAAAACATTTGATGATAATGAAGAAATCAGATTCAATTATGGTTCAAAGTCTGAAAGTGATTGAATATAATATTGTTCAGGTAGCGAAATGGGAGGATAGAAGTTCATTTATTGTTCAGTGCGGTTAAGATGAAGAGAAAAGAACTTTTTTTTACTTCCTTTCTCTGTCTCTGTCTCTTTATCTTGTTGCTTCTTTTTTTCTCTTCCTCTTTTTTTTCGACATCAAGATGATAAAATGATCAGTGTTGCAAGAAGAAAAGAGAAGACAAGGAAGATGAAGAGACGAATGACAAAAGAAAAAGATTTATATTCATAGTTTACAAGGCGAAGACGAAAAAAAAACCTATTATACTGCGAAAAGATCCAACTACAAATTCGTGAAATTTGTATGAAGATATTATTATTATGTGAATAGAGGAAGAAAAAAATTCTTTTTGTCGAAAATTTCTTCATTTCTTACCACCCCTTTATCTTTTCTTTTTTAATATTCTTTCTCATCATCAACATAAACTTTAGAACCTTTTCCATGTAGAGCGATTTCAATGTTCGATCCTTATGAAGACATTAACTTGTACCATTACAAGTGAAAAAGATACATCGAAATCATAGATTAACCCTTGGAACTTTATAATATTCATTGAATTTAGCAAAGAATTTTCTTCATGAAGCCAATTTACCTTTTCCATCGTTTAAACTATTCCATGGTGAGTGAGAAGAAAAAACTTGTTCTTTCATATATATTAAGAGAGTAGAAAAAAAAATTCTAAAAAATGAAAGGAGAAAAAAAGATATTCTCATAAGAAAGGAAAACCTAATTTCATCTAAAGCTCTGTTTCCATGAGGATATTCAGTCTGTCAGAATAAATTCTTGTTAAGAGATTCGGTGAAGAAGAAGAAACAAAAAAAGTTCCAAGTTGAAATTACTCCTTCTCGAATTGAGTCAAATTCTCGACTGTAACAAAAGAATTATTCCAATGTCAAACAGGCAAAGACAAAAGAAGATGAAAGTTTTGTTCGCCGGAAAAAAATGGAATAGAGAAGAATAAAATTTATCTGAATCAACCAGAGAAAATGTTATTCATTTTTAGAGCTTTTTGGAGAAAAGAAAAAATCAACATTAACTTGATCTTATTCTTCACACTTTGCATCTCTTACAACTCATTCGTTCTCATGTAGTGTGTGAATTGTATCTCTTTCGGTGTGAGTTAAATTCTGTGAAGAGAAAAGGATAACTTGTAAATGGAAAAATTTTAGGCCATTAATGAGAAGGTGAGATATGGAAGTGAGAAAATGGTATTGAAAGAACAGAATGGAAACATGATGATAATGATGATGGAAAGAGAACATTTTTCTCCATCTTTGTTTCGTTAGCAGAAAGAAATATAATAGTTTCATAAGTTCTGACGTGGGTGATGAATAAGAAAGAGGAGAGATTTTTTTTCCTTTTTCTCTCAGCACAAAGAGAGTGAAAAGTGAGTTTTGTTATTAATATAATTCTCTCTCTCTCTCTCTCTCTCTCTCTCTCTCTCGTCTTTAATCCCTGGGAGTTTGTAACTGATATCAATTGATACTAATGGAGTGATGACACAACAATGGAATCAGAATCCTAAGCTAAGATTTACAAGGAATGAAAATAAATTTCTAATTCAGGGAATACCCTGGGACTCGGTGAGAACATTTTCCAAATAGATTCTTATGGAGATTGATTCAGTTTCTTTGTTTTAATTTGTTCTCATGAAATGATTCACTTGAATGAGGAAATTGATTCTCATACAGGATGAATATCATTCCCTGTTTACAATCATCATCATGAATGTTATTCAATGACTTTGATGATCTCTAGTGATTCTTGTTTCCTGTAATCAAAACACTTTTTCACCTGAAGATTTTCAGTAACATTAAGTACAATCAAGTGAAAAGTAACAACAATGTCAGTGGTTGATTCTTAGTTGCCAGATTATCATAGGATTTAATGTGAAAAGAATTAGTTTGAGTAAAAGAAAGTAAAGGAAAACATGATAAAATCTAAAGGTAAATAAGAGAATTGAAGAAGATATAAAAAAGAAGAATAAGAATCAACATTTGATACAATCGCAATTCTATTATTGAGAAGAAAATTTTTCTTTCGATTCTCTTGAGACAAATGCTATGAAATAGGATAAGATGATATTCTGATTCCAATCGAGACTAAACAAAGTTATAAGATGTGACGATAATATTGTCGATGACTAAGCCAACACGGTGAAATATTTCACCATGAAGATGAACAGATAATAAGGAAGATGTTGGATGAAAAAGGAAAAATAATATTCTGAAAAAAGAAACAAGATGAGAAAAAAAACAAAAACAATGAAACAAAAAAGGTGAGAAGATGAGATTTCAAGTGAATTTTAGGTGGACTTAGAGAGAGAGAGAGAGAGAGAGAACGGTAAATGCTCACCGAAATAAAGAGTAAGCTTATGATGATTATGATGATAAGTTTGATGACAAAAAAAGGGATAAGTTTATATAAGATAAAAGGAAATGATGTTAGTAAATATTGGGAGGACATCGAATGGAGAAGCGATGTCAGGGGAGATTTTGGACCAGAATAATCAATCCCTTTGAAGAGAAGAGGCTACTTATGATGAAGATGATGATAGGGAAAAGTTAAGATGAAAAGAACATCGAAAGAACAAAAATCGAAAAGTAAAATATCTTGAAAATCAATCACAAGTCAAGGGCAAGAGAGAGAGAGAGAGAGAGAGAGAGAGAGAAAACAGGAAGATGGCAATGATGATGAGAATAAGAAGATGAGGATAACTTCATTTTTAGATGTGAAAACAGAGGAACAAAAAAAGTAAGAGAATAGAAAAAAAATAATCGAAGAGAAAAGAAAATATATAATCCAAAGTCAGAAGCAGTAATATGATGATGATGAGAAAGAGGAAGAGGAAAAGATGCGGTAGAAAAGAGGAAGATGATGTTGGCTTGTTGACCATTAGTCAAGAAGAGTTTTAGTTTCTCTTGTTGGTAAACCTAATCTTCTGTAAGGTGAGAAAATATTTTCTCTTTTTCAATCGGATTATCTTCATCACTTTTTCATCCTCAATGGATCAGAATCCATTTAAATGGTTTCAATAATTTCTAAGTTGAGCTTTTCTCTCATTCCATCAAGTGATATACTTGTTAATGAGATGAAATAAATTTCATATTATTGGTTAAACTATCGATATAATTTAAAGGTAAACTTCCGGTTAGGAAAACTAAACAACTTTAACTTTCGTGTTTGACAGTTTTAAGATAGTTTAACAACTCCCAAGGAATGTTGTTCTCTCTCTCTCTCTCTCTCTCTCTCTCTCTCTCTCTCTCTCTCTCTCTCTCTCTGAATACATGGAACTTTTTTCCTTTCTCTTATGGTATTAAATAGGAGAAAACAATATGATTTTTACTGTCATGTTTTGGTTCCGGAATGAAAAGTAAACTCAACATTTTCACTGATGGAAAATCAAATTTGGTGACATTTAGTTGAATAATAAATTTCTTTCGACTTTTCTATTTTAATTGTAACGTAAATTTTTATTACATAATCAGTGAGGTAGAATTGACATGAAATTCAAGATTATATTCATGAAGAAAAATTTCTCATCCAGAGAATCAGATTTCAGGTAAATGAAGATAATTAGATTTACTGATTGTTAAATATTAGAAAAGGTAGAAAAATGTTATACAATGTGAAAGAATGCTAAAGTTACATTGATATTCAAATTTCTAGTTCTCATTGTAATACATTTATTATGAACATGAACAGAATAATATCTTTATTGAATCAACTCTACCCACGAATTCATGATAATTCAATGTTAGTATCATATGAATACACTGTTGATACAACAATTATCAACAGTTTTTTACCTGAATTTTGGATTCTATTTTGTCAGAATTATATTGAGCTCTTTTTTACCTTATCGATGGCAGATTATTATATATTTACTTATTTTTCAATCAATCATTCTGAGAAGATCATGAAACTGATCCACTTCACCCTGAACACTGAACTGATTGACAGGTTGAGAACTGATTGTAATACATTTTCCGTCTTTCTCTTTCCCTTTTTTTACCAATAATGTTGCGAGTTTATTAGAAAGGTGAGAAAAAAGTTCATTAAGTGTCAATTGTTAATCATGAAATCGTTACTAAAAATAATATACAAGAGTTTTGATTAGTTTCGTCAACGATAAAATCAGAAAGACGCAGAAAATTTTCTCAGGTAAAACTTTTTCCCCTTCAGAACTATTTCCGTCGAATCCATGAATTTATTTATATAAAAGTCATTCAGTTCATCTTTCATAATAAGTAGAAATTTTTTTCTATCGTTCTTCCCATGAAAAACTAAGCATGAATGAAAAGATGTTAAAAGTTTATCCTCTTTCTACCTAATAATTCATGAGTAAATATCATTAATC